AGAGAACAGTCTGAAGACAAGCACTATACGGGACACCGCAGAGTAGCGCTTCCTAAAAAGTGGACCAGAGGTCACTTGTATCAGAATCGTCTGGAGAGCTTGTTTAAAATGCAGACTCATGAGCTTCTAGATCTAATAAATCAGAATCCATGGAAGTTAGGTCTTAGAATCTACATTGTTAACAAGCCCCTGGGTGATGTTACAAGTATGCGACTGCTTCCAGCTTAGAGTCAGTTGAATTTTGGATGATGAGAGCCCTCCAGCCTGAACAGTATTCTATAACTACCTCCAATATTTAGGTAGCGGTGTGAGCGAGCCTGAGGTGTCAACCACCATGGAAATCCCAACCAGCCTAGGTATTACGAGAAGTGTTAGGGGGAAAAGCAAAGTACATCAACAGATATATGCTGGTGATTTAAATTGAGGATCGGTGGCTCTGCAACGCAGGTCCTCTCTGCCCAGTGAAAAGACTCTTCCACAGCCAACTAGTAGCACGCAGCAGGTTCTCTCAAACTTTGGGATTAGAATATCACTGGCGGAAAGGGGTGGTGTGTCAGCTAGATGGCTTACAGAAACCCCTAAAGGAACACACAGCATTCCAACTAGGAATCTAATCGTCTATGCCTAAATTCACTTTACAACTGATTGTTCATATTTTGGGTTGTTTTAGAATTTGCAATGCCACTAGAATTATGCTTCCATTTCTTAATTTCTATGCTGAGAAATATTTAGGTTTAAAATTTCCATCCAGAGGAGCAACAGACAGCTCTGGTTGAGTCTGTCGATTCATCACACTCTAAATTCACTGTGCTCTTGGCACATTATTGGTGTTTCTTTTGTCTTTCCCTTGCAAAAAGGAACTATTTATTTGAATAGTAGAATAAGAAGGTGATCCAGAAAGAGAACCTTTACAACATTCAATGTTTATAAATGAGTATTTATGCACATTTTAATTTAGCTCCAAAGATGGCAAACGAATCAACTAGTACAAATTCTAAACCACTTTTATAGTAAAAGAGCACCCTTTAAATTCTGTTTCTTATCAACATAGTTCAGTCTTCCATTGAAATCAGTAATGATGTAACAGATTTCAGGCAGGGTTTTTCCACCAACCCATACACCCAGCCCAGATTCATAAGCCCTCATCTGGACACCTACATATTATGATCAATAGTTAACCAGCTCATGTTTCACTTAATGTGAGATTTCCTCTTTGAGGTCCTGTATTTTAAAAAAATATATACACAAAGAATTAAGTTTCGCTTCAAAGGAGTAATAAAAGGAATGTTATGCTTGGCCCAAGAACTAAATGATTTCCATCCTCATGAAAAGCAGACAGCCATAGGTATATGACCAGGCTTCTAATAGGTAGCCAGCAATTCTTCCCTAAAATGACTGACTGTTGCCCCTATAAACCACTAAGAACTAAGTTCATTCAAAATGAGGGAAGCTTGGCACTTGCATGACAGGAAGTGAACGTATGAACTTTGAGTGACATGTCACCACTCTCAGTTACATTTTAACCCTTTGTTCCTCGAGCTCTCAGCATTATTGATTTGCAGAAATTTATTCTGGATTCCCCTCTCCCCTGCCAAAATTCAGTCACTCCACAGAGCTACATGTTTATAGTGCCTGGTGTTTCTCCATCTGAAGTGTCCAGATAATTGGTCAATTCATTTAGAATGTTGTAACACAACTTTGTGTGTTCAAGTGACAGAAGGGTAAACAGTGAGTGAGAGGTAGTCAAAGGCAGGGGAAAATGGCTCTTTTCAGCGTAAGCTCTGTGAGGTACAGGTGCAGGCAGGTGGGCGTGAAGAAGCTGCTGCCTGAGCTCTCCTGCAGCTACAGGGAGGTGGGGCGGGTGCTTATTCCAAGTTCATGTTGCTCCCAGCAAAGGTGTACAGCTCTCACCAGTCAACAGTTTACAAAATGACTAAGGGCTTGTTTGTCCTCAATTTCCTAGAGGATTTGCAGGAAATAAAATCAAAGATGATCACTATTTAATAGATCAAAAACAGAGAACTCTTCAAATAAGTTGAACAATTTGCCTCAAGTTTTGTAATAATTCCATGCTGAGCCTAGATTAAAACTCAGAAGACAGAGAGGCCTGGGAGGGCCTCAAAGGACACAAAGGACACAAAGTGTGTCCTCTGGGCCCAGAGCTCCAGAGATCAAACAGGATCTCCCACCATTCTTTCAAGAATCCTGGGAAGTTTTCTTATACTCATTTTACAGATGAGGAAACAGGTCATTTGGCTGCCTTCATAAAGTTGGAAAATATCAGAGCCAGGAATCAAACATAAGCCTTCTTTCTTCAAAACCCATGCACACTAAGCTCTAAACCTAGTGCTTCCCGAAGCGTAGCACGCACACTGCTTTAGGTGGTATGTGGAGGAAAACTTTACTGGTGCAGTTGTTCTGAAGCTTTACTCTGAGTGAGAATCACCTTGATGCTCATTAAAATGCAGACCCCACAGCCTCTCCAAGAGATTCTGAGTCAGCACCACCCAGGTGATTCTGCAGCAAGCTTTACAATGGTCTCAACCATGAGAAACGCACCAGGGATGAAAATGTAATGAGCATGACAAACCCACTTCACAGGCATTTTTCCTTTTTATGTAAACAAGTACAAAAGGGAGGGGGGCAGATTTTAAATCCACACGCATTATATTTTAAATTTCACTTTATTTAAATAAGAAAACACTAAAGAAATGATGATAGAGGTGGTGGCAGACCTGCCAAAGATCACGGAGGTGCTACTGTAGAGACATATCTGGGAACCCCAGAGACTCATTGTTCTGAGATTGAAAGGAAAGGGAAATGCTTTTGTTTGCCCAGAAATAGGCTTAACTGAAAAGCAAAGACTGTCTGGGAGCTCAGGGACCCTCTGCTGCTTTCATGGCCCAATCCTACCACTGGAGCAGCATGGTGGTAAGGACACAAAAAAGACCACTGGGATCTAGGGAATGGGGTCTTCTCTCTGGTTAGCTGAAGGCATAAGGGAGCATCCTCTCCCACAACAGTGGTCCAGCAGCACGGAGGGACCTTACAGCCTCCTCAGCTTCTCCGGGCTGTTGAGGATTCCTGACCATTTGAGGTCAGAGACTGCTGATCATCAATAAAAACTCTGTACCCTTTTCCCAGAAAAATGTTCATATATACACACAAAAATATGACGTCCTGTTTCACAGGGTTCTCAGGTTCCTCAAAGTTCATCCACAGACTCCAATTTAAGAACTCCCTTATGTGAAAACTAAAAGCTTATTTCAGCTCATGGCAATTTTTTAAGTTCAACTTATCCTTCCTTTGAGTAAAACATTCTAAACAAGAGTTCTTCATATGGAGTTCGCGGTTCCCTGTTGGGTGGCGCTGGTGGGGGGCAGGGTGTCAGGAGTTGTAGATAAGCCCCCAACTCTGCAAGAAGTATTCAGTTGTCGGCACATTTTTCTGGGAGTACATTCATCATAATGTCAAAGTAGATCAAATCTCAGAAACAATTTAAAAAAAACACCTTTTATACAAACAGATCATACAACTCAATAACAAAAAACAAACAACCCAATACCAAAATGGCCAGAAGACCTAAACAAACATTTCTCCAATGAAGAGATACTCACGGCCAATAGGCACATGAGAAAATGCTCAATATCTCTAATCATCAGGAAATGCAAATCAAAACTACAACGAGGTACTACCTCACACCAGTCAGAATGGCCATCGTTTAAAAGTCCACAAACGATAAATGCTGGAGAGGGTGTGGAGAAAAGGGAACCCTCCTACACTGCTGGTGGGAATGTAGTTTGGTGCAGGAATTATGGAGAACAGTATGGAGATTCCTCAAAAAGCTAAAAATAGACTCACCATATGATCCAGCAATCCCATTCTTGGGCATATATCTAGACAGAACTCTAATTCAAAAAGATACATGCACTCCAATGTTCACAGCAGCACTATATACAATAGCCAAGACATGGGAGCAACCTAAACGTCCAACAACAGATGACTGGATAAAGACGTTGTGGTATGATGGAATATTATTCAGCCATAAAAGGAATAAAATAATGCCATCTGCAGCAATATGGATGGACCTGGAGATTGTCATTCTAAGTGAAGTAAGCCAAAAAGAGAAAGAAAAATACCATATGACATCACTTTTATGTGGAACCTTAAAAAAACGACACAAATTAACTTATTTACAAAACAGAAACAGACTCACAGACACAGAAAACAAACTTAGGTTACCAGGGGCAAAAGTAGGGGGAGGGTAAATTGAGGGTTCTGGGTTTGCAGATACTAACTACTATACATAGAATAGATATACAATAAGGTCCTACTGTAGAGCACAGGGAACTATATTCAATACCTTGTAATAGCCTGTAATGAAAAAGAATATGAAAAGGAATATATATATATATATATATTTGTATCTCTGAATCACTTGCTATACACAAGAAATTAACACAACACTGTAAATCAACTATACTTCAATAGAAAATATACTTACCAAATAAAAAATTAAAACACCTTTTAGAAAACTTTTTAAAAAACATCTTTATAAAAGTAAATAAAACACAGATAACAGAAAAGCCCCACAAAAGTATGGCACAGTGAATTATTATCAAGTAAACAGCCCGTGACCAACAGTCAGTTCAAAAAAATAGAACTGCCAGCCACTCAACAGCCCCTCCACATACCTCAGCCCATCACAGCACCTTCCCTCCCTACAGAAATAACAACTATCCTGAGATTAAGAGCAAACATTTCCTTATAATTCCTTTTGGTTTTATCACCCAAGTGCCCATCCTGAGACACTGTCATTTAATCTTGCCCATTCTTTAAAATCATATATATATTTTCAGTCTCTTAATCTACCAGTTATCCTCCATACCTTTTTTTCCCCTTATAATTTACCTTTTTGAAAAAAATCTTAGGCTGTTTAATAATAATGTTTCCCACAGGCTGGATTTTTTTAATTGCCTATCGTTTGTACAGTTCCTTACCTTCCTCGGTCCTTGGTATTTCCTGCAAATGGGCAGCTGGATCCAGAGACTGGATCAGATTCAGCTTAGCAAAGCTCAGATGGTGTTGTGTTCTTCCATCAAGAGGCATATAATGTCTGATGTTCACTCATTTTGGATGTAAGCAGCCACTGATGCAATGCCTGGATCTAGTCACTCATTAGGAGTTACAAAATGGTGGCATTCTATCATTTTGTTTTCATTTGTTAGCTCTAATAATTTTATAAGGAGATACCCAGTGGTACGGTTCATAAAGAAGAAGCAGATAAATGCTCAGTTCTTCCCTTTTATCAATCCAGTTTCTAAGGAGATGAATTGGTCCCTGTTATCTTCAGAAGGTGATGAACTACTGCTATACATAAATGTGTGTGAATATATACGTGTATAGCCATATATATAACTATGAACACACAAACTTACATTTGATGGATTTCAAGCCTTTGCAATTCATATCTATTCTGAAGCTCAAATTGGTCAGTGGGAGCCTTGTCTTCAAGTTGGTTTTCAAGTCCATTAGACATGACCCTACTAGTATTTGATAGCTTCTTTGCTATCTAGTATTACAAGGCATTCCATGCTCATCTTGTATGTTTCCTGTCCCAGACTTGGGATCAGCCATTTTCCAATCCTGATTTCTTTTACAGGGAATGATATTTCAAGACCATATCTGGGCCCTAGGTATATTCATTATTTCTGAGTTGGTTATTGTTTCTAGACCTTTTCAGCAAACAGAGCTAGGAAGTACACACGCAAGATATGCATCTTAAGGTTTTTAAAACACAGTATCTCACAAGTTTACACTGTTATTCCCAATACAAAACTACAAAAAGATTTTTACAAGGTTCATAAAATATTATTTCTTGAGTTCTTCTCTGCTGATTACAAGTTTTGATGCCATTTTTATTGAAACTCAGTTTTACTAGATATAAAATCTTGGCACACGTTTTCTTTCCCTGAATGTCTTAAAAATTTTACACCATTTTCTTCTGGCATAAAGCATTGCTGTTGAAAAGTCTGATGATAACTGGATTTTCTTTATATATCATAAGCTTTCTTTGTCTACACATACAAAGGACTAGGATTTTTTTTTCTTCAAAGTTAATTTTACAAGAATTTTTCTTGGTGTTGATCATTCTGGTTCAATATTCTAAGATTCACAATGTGCTTTTAAAATGTAGTTTCACAGACTCACAGTCATAGAAAACGAACTTACATTACTGAAGAGGAAAGAGGTGGGAGGGATAAATTAGGACTTTGGGATTAGCAGATGCAAACTACCATATGTAAAATAGATAAACAACAAGGTCCTACTGTATAGAACAGGGAACTATGTTCAATATCTTGACATAAACTCTACTGGAAAAGAATCTGAAAAAGAATATATATGTATATAGACAAATGTATAACTGAATCACTTTGCTGTACACCAAGAACTAACACAACATTGCAAATCAACTATACTTCAATTAAAAAAATAAAATAAGGAAAAGGTACTTTCATTTTTTTCCTCTATTTCAGAAACATTTTCTGGAATTTTAGTATTTGTTTTATTCCTGTCCATTGGTTTTCTTTTTTAGGGATTCCTGTTATCTGAATGTTTAATTTTCTTTGTTTATCTTCAAATATCTGTCTCATTGTCTTGAGTCTTTTTAAATTTCTTTCCTCATTTTTTTTTGACATTTAAAAATTTTTCTCCTTTTCACCTTCTATTTCCCTTAAGGAATTATTTCTTATATTTATTTACTCTTGCATTTCTTCCAATTTAATCTTCACTTTTTCTTTTATTTTTAATTATTTTTGACACCAATTCTTTGATTTCTGAGTCCTTCAGATTTTGATTTTGTTGTTCCTTCAGGTTTTGAACAATTTTCTTCAAATATTTAGCTTGTTTTGAAATAGTACATTATCATTTTTATCTTTTTTTTTGCTTATGTCTTTCTGGTATGTTTTATTGCCTGTAGAGATATTATTCTGCTCCCCATTCTCTTTTTTGCTTATAGTAACCTTTGTATAGAATTTGACCTCAATGATTTTCTGTAGCCAATTTTTCTGTAAAATTATTTTCCTGAACTTTTAGGAAGAGTTCTTGTTCATATAACTTTTCTAACTTCACAGAGACCACTCCTCTGTTGTTTTTGTAAATTGTTTTAAAATGTATGTATGACAGCTACAGACACCTGGCCAGCACTCCTTGACACTGTCAAGTTCATCAAAAACAAGGAAAGTCTGGGACACTGTTATAACCAAGAAGAGCCTAAGGAGATGAGATAACTAAATGTAAGGTGGCATTCTGGATGGGGTCAGAACAGGAAAAGGATTTTAGGTGGAACCTAAGGAAATCTGAGTAAAGTATAAGTTAGGCAATAATAATATATTAATATCAGTTCATTAATTATAGTAACTCTACCATACTAACATATGGTGTTAAAGATGTTTCTAATAGAGGAAGCTGGCTGGGGAGTATTTGGGAACTTTCTGTACTATCTGCTCTAAATCTAAATCTGTAAATCTAAAACTGTTGCAAAAAATAAAGCCTATTACACACACACACACACACACACACACACACACATACACACACACATACACAGAGCAGCTTGTGTCTAAGATTTCCTAGCATTTTCCCCACCCACCTACTTTTATCTGGACTTCCCCTTCTTTCATCTCCTCAGTGAGGGGCCCTGAGCTGGGAGAGAGCCCTGGTGGGTCAGTGTCAGGGCTCACGGGGGCTGTACTGCTCCAGGCACCTTAAGCCTTAACACGGGACCCTTGTGTCACTAGCAACTGGGGTGGGCAAGCGCCTGACGAGATCAGCTGTTGTTATCAAGCTGGCTAGCTTTAGTTTCCAGTTTCATCTGTTTTGAGGTTCTTCAGTTCTCATACTCATCAAATCCAGCCCCACTGCTTCTCTCAGTTTCCTCCTACACAGATGTCAGAAGGTGCAGGTCTTATGACTCATATTTTAGGATTCACTGGTTTATCTTGTTCCCTGGCTTTTCATACATATTGCTCATGGATTTTATGGGCATTTGGTTTTATGCTCTAGTCTTCATTTTTTCCCCTTACAGTTTAGGATGCTGAGCTTTCATACATATGCATAAACACATACACAAACACACACTTTAACAGCTTTGTTGAGATACAACTCATATAGCATACAATTCACCCTGTGCTCTTTGTGGGGAATTTAGGAAGACCCCCAAATCATGCTGCCACCATTTCCCCAACATTCTAAAACCAAACTTTAAGGCAATCATCACCATCATACTGTTGAGATAACGAGGGTTTTAGTATGGTAGAAGATCCATATGGCTCATTTAACTACAGACAGGCTAGAACGTGTGGTGGGTGGTAGAGATACGGTGCTGTATTTCTCCATGTGTTAACGAGCAGAAACTCAAGGGCTTCCTGTCACACGTGGTATACAACCAGTTCACAATTATTGACAGTGTTACAAAGGCAGCTTTCACAAGGATATTTAAAATCCATCAACTATCCCAATAATCTCATTAATTTTACTTTCTTTACTGCCTAAACTTCTCCTAGCTGATCGGTCTTTGAGGAGTGAAAAGAAAACCCAAACCTTACGCAAGTGTGATGTTGCCATCTTTGCCAGGGTGCGCGTACCTGTGTGGGAGTGTCCTCCTCTGAATCAAGAAGCACAGCTCTGCACTGGAGGAGGGCGGTCTCAATGACGCAAAGCCCAGGTGATGTCGGAACAATCAACCCATTGTGAAACAATTCACCTCATTTCCAGGGGCCCGTTTAAAACAATTCTTAAAAAAAAAAACAAAAAACCCAAACACTCAAGGTCTCATCTGAGGTTCTTTCTACTTTCCATGATTTGGGGGCACACAGAGACTCTATTTTGGCCCAGGCCCCACCAGCCTGATTCCACCACTAACTCGGATAGACACTTTTTGCAGGGCCCGCTCATACAACAGCCTATAAACTGCTAAGTAAGTAAAATTAAACTTGTTAGAAAGAATCCACTCAGCCTCCAGTGAGTTCTTCCCCAAGGTGTTAGTAAGTCTCAGTACGAATACAAATTTCGTTTCTCTGTCTGCCTTGCCCAATTCTTTAGGCAAAGTGCTAAAAGGCAGCCCAGGAGAGGAAGTACAAGGACCCTCACATCACCCACAGCCCGGATGATCTAGTCCTAAATAAAGGGCAATCGGCTTCCCAATATTTTATTTTAAAGCTGCACCTATACCTCATTAGAATTAGACAGTGGCTCTTTCTCCTCAGAACACTCTAAGGATGAGAGGCCACCCTCAGGATGCCACCCCAACACAAACTGATCCCCATGCACACCACCAGTCATGGTTTGTTTTCTTAAATAGCAAAGTTTATTTTATTTCACTGCTCCATCAAAATTATTTATCTCATTTATCATACAGTTCCTGCCTAGTGTGTTTTGCCAGAACTAACATGCATGAAAATTATGTTAATGGGCCTTAGACTGGTTTTAATGTACTTCATATAATCAAGAAACTAAACAAACAGAAAGGACTCTGAAAGGTGTCCATTCTACTCGGAAGAACTGCTTGCTCTCGTAAGACACGTTTTTGAGGAGAGTAACTGCCAAGGATCAAACCACCAGCAGGGCCCTCAGAAAAGACCTGTTTATCCAAAGAAAAAAAGAGACCGAGGGATTTACCATTGTGCCCCACTCCATCAGGTGCCCTAAGTTTCCATTAACCAGCGGTGGTTTCACGGAGAGAGACTGGGAAGTGATTTGGAAAGGATTCTTAACACGAAAACTAACCCAGAGGAAAATTAAGTTTTGATTTTTGAGAAGGAGCCAGCCTGGTGAAAATCATCTATTTCTTGAGGAAATTAATGTGTGTATGCACAGGGATGTCACTATAATGCTGGCCTGGTGGCCTACTTCCAATACACACTGACATAGTGAAAGGCCATATAATAAAGAGGTCTTTCTGCAACTTCTGAGAAATGAACATCCTAGGACTTAGTACCAGATGGACCCACATTATCATAAACTTTCCTCCATAAATAGGTCTTATAGAAAAACTCCATTAAACTTGCTAAAGAACTGAAATGTTGAGGAGCAGTTTT